GCTGCACATCTGTTCATGACACCTGACATCAAGGGGTTAATAGTAAACTAAAGGGGAGAATCTCTTGCATTTTATATGATTTTAACTCATGGTATTTACTTTTCCCTTTTGTGATATGAGTTATTATGAATGAGGAAACCTTATATATAACAAATTATAACCCAACTCCTAACAAACCGGTATCCCCAGTGCTATGCTGAGCTCTCTGTCAGGATGCACAGGGCTCAGTATAGGACCTTGTGGAAAAGTTAGAAAAGTAGAGCCATAGAATTATCTGTCCTTGAGGCTGTTGGCTGTGGCATAAGTTTAGGGAAAGGGGATAAAAACGACTGCAGCCAGGACCAAACAAGCACACTACTGTTTAGTGCACACAACTTGGAGTAGGCTAGAATGCATGTGACATAGGTTATAGATAATTGCATGGACGGTCAGTCAAAAATTATATTTCGGGTAAAATACAATTCAAGATCCACCAAAACCAAACATGATTCCACTGCATCATCTAATGCATTTCAGAGGAATTAACATCTTTGATTTCCGTGCAAAACAAAGTACATACAAGCAAAAAGATAATGATTCAAAATGGAAAATAAAAATATGGTCTACGAATGACCTTTTTCTTTAATCCACTGCATTATTTTGGGTTATATAGAAGGGTTCTTTTTATGCCTCTGAATGTGAAATTTAATTATAATGATTAGTTGTATATTATTCTATCATCAACAGAAAGAATTGTATGGGCATATGTTTGACAGAATTATAATATGGAGGTGAGAGTAAATAACAAAATACTTTTTTCATAATTTCCCTAAAAAGGAAAAAAAATACTTTTGAAAGTAGGTCATTCTCCTTATGCGGAGATTGAGATAAACAAAACTTGTATATGATTTCTTTCCGTACTGACTGGAGCAAAATAAGCCTGTTGATGTTGGGGGAGCATGTATGCAAGTACTGTGTACTGTGCTCCACAAGTACTTTGTCACCACGGTATAAATTCCCATGTACCCCATTCTTTGAACTTTTAGGAAAAGAAGTATAATTTTTTACTGTTTATTATTTTATTAACATTATGGTGATAATAATTATAATAGTAGTGAAGTTGATAATATCAAGAAGAGTAAAATTTGAAACATCAATTATCCCAGAAGTTGGGGATTGTCTGTTTACTCTTTATGGCATTTTAAGATCAGACAGCTTATTTTTATGCTTTGTTGTACACATTCTTTTGCACAGAGAAAACCAAATCATGCAATTAAACCAACTACAAAAATGTGAATGTTTTATTATTGCCTGAACAATAGAGTAATAAATTTCAGTTAATTCTACAGAAGCCAATGTATATCTCTTCCAGTATGACCTGTTCTTCTGGTTTTCTCCTGTCCTGGCTGGATGGGGAGCAGCAGTATCCATCTCTCGTGTCCTGCTCCACCGACACCACATCTTGGACGTCATTGGTGGAACCGTCATAGGTATCCTGCAAGCCATGCTCTACAGCTTAACGTGGCTCTCCGATGAGTCTGCACAGGGACTCGTCAACTTCTTCCTCGACGAGACCCAAGTCGGAGCGAGTTACGACGTATAGGGAGCTATTATGTGCCTTGGTTTGAGTTGCATTATAAGCATATATATTCAGGGATTTTATCGCAGTGATTTTCTTTGGTTTACAGTGTGGTGTGTATTGTGATTTTTCTGTTTATGAAGTGTTTCTACTGTTTTTTTTTTTTTTTTTTTATGTAAACACTTTGAACAGATGTTTTAGCTTTACATTACTAATGCTATTTAACTTTGTCTGTTTACAATGATGGGAGTAAAATCAAAATAGGGATGCTGTAGGATGTTACTCATAGACTGTGAAGTAGAAATTTTCCAATTAATACTAAGAGAGGGTGCCCATATAGTTCCTTGATATTTCAAGAGTGCAGCATGACAATATACATGTGATAATAAAAGTTGATAATAGTGATATTGTTTATAAAGATATTTCAATGTCTTCATGCATTTTAAGGATAAACACAGTATATGTATTTACAGGTTTTTTAGATTTATCATGAGCAGTAGATAAAAATCAATGGGGAATTAAAAGTGCTGTTTTGGTTCTAATTTTTGAAGAATATAGTCAAAGTGCTATTGTGTTTCAAATATATTTGCTGAGTATAGTTGGAGACAGCCAGTAATTAAACTACCCATACTTTAGCCAAAATATTTTGTACTTACAGGATATTCATGAATACACAGCAGTTCTTCTATCATCAGGGTTCATGATACTCTATAGATATTTTTTGTTGTAATTCTTTGCCTTTATTTTAGAATAAGGATCCGATAAATTATAATACATATACATATTAAATGCTCCAAGGCCTGATTTCAGGTTATATTTTCATGCATGTTTTCGATATATAATAAATGTAAAGTTTCTGTTGAGTTAAAAAAAAAAAAAATTATATTTCCTTATTGAGACTGAGGTTTGACAGTCATAGTTTAGGTTGCCACATCTTTTATT